GTTCCTGTTTTTGATCCAATGAAAATAGTGGCTGTGCGGAGGGTGAATAGTGGCAGTGTCCCAAGATTCATTGGATTTGAATCTAATGGTTTCTGACTTCCCTTACCTGTTGAGGGTTCAATTCTCACAGGAAGCATTTTATTGTGGCTTATTCTACTGTGAAACCCTCATTCCAAGAGAAACCCCCATTTTTAGAGAAATCTCTCCAACAGTCTACTGAGAAACCCCCTCCGATGATGGCCGAAGGTTCTGGAACCCGGATCAACCAGATTTGGACATCCAACTTGGGCGGTGTCACGTCGTGGGCCTTCTTTCCTTCTCCGCCATCATTCCAACAACTCGGAAGGCTCTGTCCCCTCTCAAGCACATTTTGACCGAAGCACCGACCACCACTTGTTCTTGCAACATGCCAAATGCTGCACTGATCCGGATTCCCGAAGTATTGCCAGTGGACTGTACCAATGCGAGTGTGGCAGCGTGCTTTTTCAATGAAACTCGGAGGGCTTCCTGGTTTGGTTATGGCAAGGTTTTCGTAGCAAGGCTGGTATTCTCAACTTTTCATTTATTTACGTGTCAGTTACCTTGCTGGCGACCTGCTGAGAATTGGCCACTTGCAGCAATGATATAAAATTTACATCTCAACAGGCTTAGTTGGCGGGCAATAACTGTGTGCGTCTCCCATATTTCCTCTATCAAAGGCCCCCCGAAGGCACAAGCAGTTCATCCGCAAGGCCGCGTGCAAGTCTGATATTTTTTGTTGCTTCTTCTTCCCTGCAGACAATAAAATATGGCCCACGCCATCTATTTCTAAGTATGACGCATATATCGCGTTTACGGGAAACCACGGGAATTCATTGGACTCTGCTGCTATTTATGTGAGTTTGGGTGAAGCTAAATCGAACACAAACCATGGTGAAACTCAAATTCGACTTTGACTCTGCCTGTTGATTTGGGTGATCCCGCACATTTGCGCCGGCTCTCGGCATATTTCGACGTGGGGAAATCTGACGCCGAGAGGAACCCTTGGAATCGGGGTTTCTGCATAGAACAATTTTTTTACGAAGAGGTTTTTCTTAGAATTGGGGTTTCTCAGGAGAATAATCCTTTTATTTTTGTGTTGCTTTTCTTGGTTTTTTTTTGTTCATCTCTTTTTATTTTTCCGTAGCTCTGTCTTGAATGACTGGTCACCCTCCCCCTCCATCCTCTTTTCTTATTGGCTCCATCTATACTACAACAAGTCTCCAATGGATTTTTGGTTGATCCAGATCAAGTCCATTCAGATGCTCCTAAAATAGAATCACCACTGCTCAACGAGTAGTAGTTTCAGTTATTCTTTGGTGGTTCCTTGTAGAATCCACTCAGATAGTCTCAAAAACAAGCTATGGCTTCATTCTAGCTCCAGAAAACCTTGAAATCCATCATTCTTCAACAAACTTGGTTGAGGCTTGTCTATGATCTCAAAAATAAATTTGCCTCTGCCCAAGCAGTAGGAGTTTCAGTGATTTGTTGGTGGTTCTTTGTTGAATATATTCGGATACCGTCCAATTACGATCAAACCGACAGGGGGTGTGATGCGTGACCCGATTTACCTATTCGACATTTCAACACCTGCCAAAATTGTGCGTGACCCCCAAATTTTCGACAATCAGACAGGAAAATTTGCGAAATTTCGCCTTTTTGGCATCCCGGGACCACTTTTTGGGGCAATGTCACACTCGGGAGGTTCGACAACGGTGCGCGTGGCGCATGACCTCAACTAAATTTCGACATTGACACAGAGGTACGTGACCCGTGACTGTCGATTTGATCGTAATTGTACAGTAATCTTCAATGAACTCAGTTGACACTTATTTGGGACTCTGAAAGTGAATTCGCGACTGCCCAAGCTGTTGGACTTGACATGTTTTTGGTGGATCCTTGTAGAGCCCATTCAGATGGTCTCAAAAACCAGCAGGGGCTTGATTCTTGCCTTGGGAACACTTCAAATTAGTCATTGTTAAATCAAATCAACTCACTTGATATTTGAATAGCACTCCAGAACAGAAAGGCTTGGGATCACACACTCACCTTGACTGATGATCCTCTTACACTCAAATATAAATTGAGCTACAAAAGAACATAAGTACGAGATGTGCTGCACCCCTGCGACGGCCTTTACCCCCAAGTGGGAGTGTAGAGCAACACATAATAGCGCCGGTAGTGCGTCTAGAATCTCACTCTACGAACAAAATCTCTCGGAGTCTTTTACATAAATCACAAGAGTAATTGAGTCACTCAACTACGCGGAAGTTGAAATTAAATCTGACTGAATCCTTTGCTTTACTGACTGGAGAGTAACTGGTAACAGCGTTGGTGCTGTCATGAATCGCCCGGGTTCCAACTTTTTCGCGAGACATGTCTGTATGCATACAGACGTGTCTGCATCACGGGACTCTCATGACGCAACCACGAGCCCTTCTCACAGTTGAAACCCGATTGTGGGTTTCAAGGACTTGGATACAGGAAGACATTAAGGGTTAGGAAGCCCACACAGTCGGTCCTCCTAGCCCCCAGACACTATGGTGATAACACACAGGAGCCTAGGAGCATCAGTATTAACACTCCTTAATGCTGTGGTACAGGAACTGATCGTGATCATATTAACTTATTCATAAAGTATATAAGCCCAGTAGAATCTCCTTGTACAGTAGATTCTACCTTGTCTAATCTCAGGCTTCTGCTTTGGCTTGACTTAGGGATTGTCTCTACCCTGTCCCGCTTCCTCTCCAGTCTATTGTGGGTTGGATCCACACCCCAGGTATTATACCTGAGTGGATATCATACCCTATTTGACTTACCCCAACCCACAATATATGGCCTCCTAACAAGGGGTCCATTCAGTTGGTCTTGCTGCTCGGGGGACGCACCAGTTACTAGTGTCTGTTGGATTTCTCCTGGTTGGGGTTCTCACCAGGTTGCTCATTGTTTAGCCGACCCAGAGGCCATTGCTGACAGGTACACTTATCACTCAACCAACAGGATCCCCGCCGCTTCTCGGAGATTATCAAGTGGATGAGGTGCACGGTGCACACTTGCTTACAGTGACCACTCTCCGACATACTGTAGTAGGAGGTCTGTCGGAGTTCGAATCTCAGCGTCTGACATGCTGAAGGAAAGATATCCCGCAAGCTTCTTTTTCTCCTCAAAATTCGGGTCGCGCCAGTCGTTTTGCAGCTTAAACTCCTGAACGAGATACCACACCCACGGCCACACCCAGTCAACGAACATCCGGTGTGTAGATTCTAGACTAATTCAAAGGGCGTTGGTAAGCATCTCACTCAACCGCCAAGATCTCCCGGAGTCTTTTCCATAAATCGCACAAGCAGCTTTTTACTCAAGTACGCGGAAGTTGAGATTCAACCTGCCTAAATTCTTTGCTTTCCGTCCCGAATCCTACTTCATTCAGTCAAAGCCCCACATATTTTTGAAGTACACTTATGTACCAGAGAATAACTCGGAGCACCATCTACGAAAAAGAACACCCGCCAACATGCACCTTCCCCTTGAACTTCGACGTTGTATTCTTCTTCGTTCGCTTGTGCATGCTGAGTTTTATTTCTCTGAATGGGGTCCAATATACCCCAGTATACACATAAGGGAATAAATCGGATGAGGTGCACGGTGCATGCTTGCTTACAGTGGTCACCGTTCCACGCACTGTGGTAGAAAGTCTCAGCATCCGAGTGATTATAATCCGTCGTTCTTTTTGCTGGAATTTTGTCTCTGAAGCAGTACTTCACCAACGAGGCGGAACGTTCATCCAAACGCGCACGCACCACCTACGGCGAAGGAGCAGACCCCCAACATGCATCTTCTCCTTGACCTTCGACTTTTTGCTCTTCCTTTCTCCGAGTCCTTTCCGCGCCGTTCGCTTGGGCAGGTTGAGTTTTAATCCTCTAAATGGGGTCCAATATACCCCAGTACACACCCAGAGAAATAAATCGGACGAGGTGCACGGTGCACGCTTGCCTACAGTTCCTACTCCCTGACTTTGAGTGGGAGCTCTGAGTTCGACCCTCAGCGTCCGAATAGCGTGTATATCGAGTCCTTTTTATTGGGAGTCCGCCTTTGAAACATTATTCACCAGAACCACGAAGACGAGCCAGCATCACTTTTCTCTGCTTGAATGACTGGATCAATTTAGGTTCAACCTTTTACTCCTTCCCAGCGCCGTTCGCTTGCCCATGTTAGGTAAATTTTATTCTTCTAAATGGATCGGATATACCCAAGGACACATCTAAGAGAATAACTCGGATGAGGTGCACGGTGCACGCTTCCTTACAGTAAGCTTGACTTGCAACTGGAGTGGGAATTCTGAGTTCGACTCTCAGCGTCCGAGTCGGGTCGCAATAAATGCCACTTTTTGCTCTCAGTATTCGCGGAATGTTCATCCAAACGCGCGCGCACCACGTGCACCCACGAAGAAGTCATGACCCGCCCATCCTCTCCTCTCCTTGAACCGCCGGCGTTCCACTTTTCACTTCCCGGCGCTGTTCGAATTCGCAGCCTGGCGCCTGTTGAGTTTTACTCGTCTCCGATATACATAGTCAAGTACATGCACAAGCAAATAACTCGGATGAGGTGCACGGTGCACGCTTGCCTTCGCTGGAGTACCGCCGTTTCTGCTGCAGCAAGAGGCCTGAGTTCGACTCTCAGCGTCCGAGTATTGCGCCTTTCTATCGCGAATTTTTCTCCTTTTTGTTAGGAATCTGGCTTTGAAACCGCTGACAAGGCCGAAGAAGGAAGATTGAATATGGAATACACATCAGCCAAGTTTACAGAAATTATTACACCAGCCCGCAACATACACCGTACATTCCAACCACCTACGACGACGAAGACCCACCCCCAACATGCATCTTCTCCTTAAACCGCTGGATCAGGTTCAAGTTCTTACTCTTCTCCTTTTTCTTCTCTTTATCTTTCCCGTCTCCATTCGAGGTAACCCCAGAAATAAAAAATCGGACGTGGTGCACGGTGCACGCCTGCTCATAGTTATCGGTCTTACTTTTCAGAAATTACCTACGGCGGGACATCTGAGTTCGACTCTCAGCGTCCGAGTATTGTGTGTGATTACGAATTTTTCTCCTTTTTGTTGAGAGTCTGGCTTTTAAAGCGCTGACGAGGCTGAAGAAGGAGGATTGAATATTGAATACACGCCAGCCAAGTTTACAGAAATTATTACACCATGATACAATTTGACACGCCTACATCCCAACCACCTACGACGATAGAGACCCAACGTGCATCTTCTCCTTAAACCGCTGGATCAGGTTCGATTCCTTACTCTGCTCCTTTTTCTTCTCTTTATCTTTCCCGTCTCCATTCGAGGTAACCCCACAAATAATAAATCGCACGTCGTGCGCGGTGCACGCCTGCTTATAGTTGTCGGATTTGGTTTTCGGAAATTACTTACGGCGGGACAATCTGAGTTCGACTCTCACCGTCCGACTTGGCGTGAATTTCCGCTTTTTTTGCTACAAGTTTGGCTTTGCTCTGCTTGATTATCGGCAGATTCACTCACGAAGGGTACCGAGACAAGATTGAACAAAGGAGAATCAATGCACGCCAGCCAGCCACAGGTTTACAGAGATTACGCAGCCCCATGCCCATATTATTCTTCTACTCAGGTACACGTACCAGAGAATAAATATCAATCGGACGTGGTGCGCGGTGCACACTTGCTTATTGTGGTCCGCTCTTGTTGGCATGCAGAAACTAAAGCAGGAACTCTGAGTTCGACCCTCGGCGTCCGAGTAGTGAAGATGAATTTTTTTTGTGGGAAGTGCATACATACACCAACGATAACGAGGCGGAATTGAACAAATAAGATTGAATGAATACACGCCAGCCAAGTTTACAGAAATCATTACACCATGATACACGCCCGCAACATAACCCGTACATTCCAACCACCTGCTTACGACGAAGACCCAACATGCATCTTCTCCTTAAACCGCTGGATCAAGTTCGACTTCTTGCTCTTCTCCTTTTTCTTCTCCTTCCCGTCTCCATTCCCGTCTCCATCTCCATTCGAGTCTGCGGTATCGTTCCCCCCTCCGCTCCCCGACTCGGACACAGGCTCGTCGACGTCCGCCTCCACACCCGGCGTGAGATCCCCCGTGGGCACGGTGTCGGCGAGCCTGGAGGAGTTGAGCGCCGCGCTGCCTTGTACGCCAACCCCGGGACTCGACGCGAAATCGCCAGTCGGCACGGTGTCGACTAGCCTGGAGGAGTTGAGCGCCGCGCTGCCCTGTACGCCGACACCCGGACCCGAGCCGCCGACGGGACTCAACGCAGACGGCGCAGCGAAGTCGCCCGTCGGCACCGTGTCGGCTAGCCTGGAGGAGTTGAGCGCCGCGCTACCCTGTACACCGACACCCGCACCCGCCCCCTCCGCGGGCGTCCCGACCTCCGTCTCCGTCGACGCGGCGTACCCGCTGTCGCCGCCCGTGGAGGGGACGAGCGACGGCGTCGACGCGCCCGACGACGTGGGATGCGGATGCAGGTTGGGTGCAGGGCGCGGTGCACGATGTGCGTGGGGAGGTGCGTGGTGTTGGTGGAACTGGAGGTGTGGTGCGCGGGGTGGAGGTGCTCGGGCTTGGTGGCGACGCCGGGGTGCGAGGAGTAGAGGCCGGAGGTCGGGCGGGGCGCGGAAGAGGATGCAGAGGAGGAGGAGGCAGAAGCGGTGTGGTGCGCGGGGTGGAGGTGCTCGGGCTTGGTGGCGACGCCGGGGTGGGACGAGTAGAGGCCCGAGGTTGGGCGGGGGACTGCGCTCGAGGAAGTAGGGGCGGAGGCGGGTCTGGCTGCGACGCTACGCCGGGATGGGAGGGGAACACGCCGGAAGTGGGGCGGGGGATACTGGAACTCATCGACTCGGGAGACTGGACGAGCTGCGGCAAGTCTGTAGACGGAGAAGAAGCGACGCCGGGATGGGACGGCATCAGCCCGACGTCGCTGAAGGCGAGATCGCGGACGAGGAATGCCCCGTGTGGACGGTGGTGCTGAGTGTGTTTGAGACGGCGGTGTCTTGTCGAGGAAGCGTGGATACGGATGATTCAGACGGAGGGAGGGGGGGAAGAGAAGATTCGGAGGCCGTGGCTGGTTTTGTGGTGTCGGGCGAGGAGGCTATCGAAAGAACGTCAGTGACGCCGAATTTTGAATGAATAGCTACGCACGCAGATACGACGCCAAGCCCGGGGGAAGGAACGACGTCGCGGCAGCCAGAGTCGCCTGCGCCGTCTCGAGAAGCGAGCCCTGCGCCTGAGGGTTCCGCAAAGCAGTATCATTATCTGCGTTGCTCTTGGTATCGGGCTCGAGATGGTGTGGGAACGCGCCCGGAATGTCGGGGCCAGGGGTGCCGACGGGGGTGCGGGTAACGTGCTCCGCCATGAGATCGGCCATGTTGTCGCCCCATTCGCTGGCTGGTGTCTGTGGGAGCGCGCCCGATGGGATGGTGGGGACCATATTGGCGTTGAGAGGCGGAGGATGCACGGAGGCCATTGTTCGTCGTCTATGAGACTGGGAGCGGCAAGGTCAAGAGGGATTCGAGTCGATACACAGTCGAGAACGTCGGATATTTGAGATATTCAGAGTTCTGCAAAGAGATAGGAGGATAGTGAGATGCGCCCGGGGCCAGCTGACGCGCTTTATACGGGCAGGGAGTGGAGTGCGAGACTTGGGCATGACGTCGTGGTGCGAGGAGAAGAGTTCGTCATTCGGATGGGGCAGTGTTGATGGCATCAAAATTCCGTCTGCTGCACACTTTCATCCTGTAGACGCGTCGAATGCAATGAGTACGTGTACGGCTACCGTCGTTTGTGCCTTTCGTCCCAACGCTCAATCGGCATGGGCAATTTTTACGCCGCTTAGGCCAGGTCATGACACATCTTACCCGGTGGGACTCGCCACTCGTCTTTTTCAGTCGCATCTAAGTACTTATGCAGCGATCTCCCCACCGAAGAACAGCAACGTGGACGTAGTGCGCGGCGCACCAGCCGAGACCCGTTGCGGCGAATATACCAAAAATTCATATATCAACCGCTGAATCTGGGTTCGACTCCCAGCGTCCAACATGCTCGCTGAGTTATGTTGCTTTTTGCTCAGGGCTCGGGAGAGCCTAGCCCGATCGCTGGCAAACACTCGAAACTGAACTCCAGGTATGTAACGGTCATCCGTATTTCACGATTCTCTTTCCAGATTTCATTCTTCAAGCTAAGTAACACGGACGTACGATCCGCACTTCCTGAATCCAAACATACTTCCCTCTGGTGCGCATTCTGACGCCCGCACAAAGGTACTACTACAATTCGGACGTGGTGCGCGGTGCACGCCCGCTCCTGCTGGTTCTTTCCCGATCAATTTGAAAGCGGGTACTCAACTGGGTTCGACTCCCAGCGTCCGGAATGCATTGATACTTTGCACGATCTTTTTCTTGGGTCATTCAAACTCCTACCTTCTGTGCCCGTATTCTTCGGGTAGCTTACCCTTACAGGCTTGCAGTCCCTGGAATGTCACTGTGGATGCGACCAACAGTTGATCTCCCAAACTTCTTTCAAAAACCGACGCCTACATACTCATCGTCGTCCTGTTCCATTTCACCGCTGGTGCGTATATGTACATTTGGCCACCCATACAATCAATAATCCGGACGTAGTGCGCGGTGCACGCCCGCTTCTACTATTGCGTACACTTGAAAGCGGGTACCCGGGTTCGACTCCCAGCGTCTGGAATGAATGGTTTCCTTCCCAAATCTTTTTCTTGGGTCGTTCCAACTCCTGCTTTCCGTGTGTTCTTGGGGTAGCTTACGCTTACAAACTTGCAGTCCCTGGAATGTGTATGCGATGAACGCAATGTCTTTCAAAAACCGGCTCCTACTCGTTGTTTTCGTGTCGCTGGTGTGTGTATTGTATATTTGGCCACCCATACAATCAATAACTTGAATCCGGACGTAGTGCGCGGTGCACGCCCGCTCCCCCTGGGCCTTTTCTTTCGTTCGAAAGCGGGTACTCAACTGGGTTCGACTCCCAGCGTCCGGAATGGATTAGTATCCTGCGAGCTTTTTCTTTCGGCCATTCCACCTGCTGCCGTGTTTGAATAACGGTTTATAGACTTGCAGTCATACAACACGTACCAATCGACAAGCATAATCCGGACGCGGTGCGCGGTGCACGCCCTCAAATGGTGCTATACCCCACCAGGCGGGAAACTGGGTTTGACTCCCAGCATCCAGACTGGGGAGTCTGCGAAGCCACTTTTCTTTTTTTCCGTCTTCCTGTTTGCAATGGCCCCTTGACGTGAAAGACGTTGCAATTCCCCACCCACTCAAAGCCTCAAAAAAAAGCTTGTGCTCTTCGTTCTCTGCGGGAAGCCCACCCATACACCACGGTATCAATCAAAGAGCACAATTCGGACGTGGTGCGCAGTGCACGCCCGCTCTCGCTATCATGCTTGGCCTAGGCTTTGAAAGCGGGTACTCAACTGGGTTCGACTCCCAGCGTCTAGACTCGTTACCAGTCTGCTTACAATGAGCAAAAAATGTGGCGAGCACTTTGCTGTAGGTAACGAGTCTACCCAGGGTCCGGAATAGATTGTAAGCTGCTCGAATCTTTTTCTTGGGTCATTCAAACGCTTGCCTTTCGTGGCCGTGTTCTTTGGGTAGCTTACGCTTACAAACCTGCAGTCCCTTGAATATGGATGCGACGAACGCTTAATCTCGCTCGTACCCACCCTTGTCGTCTTCGATTTGACCGCTGGGGCGTATGCATATTCGGCCACCCATACAATCAATAATCCGGACATAGTGCGCGGTGCACGCCCGCTCCCGCTATAGAGGTTCTGTGTACACTTGGAAGCGGGTACCTGGGTTCGACTCCCGGCGTCCGGAATGAAAATACTCCATAAACTTTTTCTTTCGGCCATTCCACCCGTGTCCTTTGAATAATAGTTTACAGACTTGCGCTTCCTGCACACATACAACACAGTCCCAATCGACAAGCATAATCCGGACGTGGTGCGCGGTGCACACCCCCCCTCCCCCACTAGTTCTCTGTGGTTGTGCATCTACGTTTGAAAGCGGGTACCTGGGTTCGACTCCCAGCGTCTGGAATGCGGCTTCTGCCACTGTCTTTTTCTTTAGTTCATTTTTCCTATCTTTGGCATTGTGTTTGCGGTTTTCCCCTTGATCTTGCAACCCCCCCAAAAACCTTCAAACACTCACTCGTACTCAACATCCTGTGCAGGCGACGGCACAGTACCGATCACAAAGAATAATCCGGACGTGGTGCGCGGTGCAGACGCCCCATTAGTACTTAGTGGTGGTTCTTCATATTTGAAGGTGGGCGACCTGGGTTCGACTCCCAGCGTCCGGAATGTTGGGCGAAATAAAGCCTTTTTCTTTGATCATTCCTGCTGTGTTCTTTGAACAGCTCACGCTTGCGGATTTGCAGTGCTCCCTGGATGCGATTGACAAACTGACAATTTAAATTTTGCAATTCTCCAACAACCTTCCAACCCTCTGAGCAAAATGAGCTCATACTCGTTCTCGTGCTAGAAACGCTCGTATATTCAGCCGTCATGATACGGAGGAAGCAAGCAAGATGCAGCAAGGTCACAAGTCGATACACAGTCGATAACGTCGAACATTGGAGAAATTCGCGGGTCTGCAAAGAGACAGGAGGATAGTGAGATGCGCCCGGCGCCAGCTGACGCGCTTTATACGGACAGGGAGTGGAGTGCGAGACTTGGGCATGACGTCG